TCCAGGGTGAGTGTGTGTCCTGTGATGGACTGGCGTCCAGGGTGAGTGAGAGTGTGTGTCCTGTGATGGACTGGCGTCCCGTCCAGGGTGTACCCCGCCTCGCACCCGGCGCTTGCTGGGATAGGCTCCGGCTCCCCCCCCGGATGGCTGGCCCGCTCCGGGTGTTTCCGGAGACCCGGCTGTGTGGTGACGAGTCTGGCCTCTGCGCAGGCTGCCCGGGGCGGAGAGAGAGGGAGGCCGAGACGCAGAGGGCAGGAAGCGCAGCATGTCGTCGACGTCGCAGAAGCACCGCGCCTTCGTGGCGGAGCCCATGGGCGAGAAGCCCGTGATGGCGCTGGCGGGCATCGGGGAGGTCCTGGGCAAGAGGCTGGAGGAGAGGGGCTTCGACAAGGTGAGCGGGGTTCGGGGAGGGGGGGCCGGTCTCGTCCTCGGGGCGCCTGTGGTTTATATAGCGCCTCTCGCTATATAAGGGTGCTTTACAGTACAGCAGTCGGACAGAGAGGCGCGTATGCATACACTGACCACTGCGGACGCTTCAGTGAAGCAGAGACTGGAGACGCCTGATTCAGGGGGACCTGTAAGCCTGACCGGACTGGGGCTCCCCAGGACCGGGTCTGGGGGACCCCCTGATTCAGGTGGACCTGTAAGACTGACCATGCTGGGGCTCCCCAGGGCTGGGGCTGGGGGACCCCCTGATTCAGGGGGACCAGTAAGCCTCACCGGACTGGGGCTCCCCAGGAGCGGAGCTGGGGGACCCCCTGATTCAGGTGGACCTGTAAGACTGACCATGCTGGGGCTCCCCAGGGCCGGGGCTGGGAGACCCCCTGATTCAGGGTGACCTGTAAGACTGACCATACTGGGGCTCCCCAGGACTGGGGGACCCCCTGGTCCAGGGTGACCTGTAAGACTGACCGGACTGGGGCTCTCCAGAGCTGGGGCAGGAGGACCCCTGATTCGGGGGGACCTGTAAGACTGACCGGACTGGGGCTCCCCAGGGCCGGGGCAGGGAGACCCCCTGATTCAGGGTGACCTGTAAGACTGACCATACTGGGGCTCCCCAGGACCGGGGCTGGGGGACCCCCTGGTCCAGGGTGACCTGTAAGACTGACTGGACTGGGGCTCCCCAGGACCGGGGCTGGGGGACCCCTGGTCCAGGGTGA